ATATATGATAATTGATATTTGATATATAAATATATATTGATATATGTATGAAATATGGTGTATCAGTGACTTAGATAATGTGTTTTACTAATATTTCTAAAACACTACTGTTTTTTATATAATTTAGAAGCAAACAAACCCCTCTTAGTAGCTCCCCTGGGGACTAAACCCCTAAGTTTCTTAGAAAACCGCCTTGTGAACAAGGAAAAGTTTCTTAGAAGACTGCCTTGTGAACTAGCTGCCCATCTAGGCAACCGCCTTGCCACCTAGGCAGCCAGCACCCTTGGCCAACTAGGCACCAGCATCTGCTTTTTGAACATTGATCTGTCATATATTGATCCTGAGCATTCCTGATCCCTAGGCCTAATTCTATAGGGTTCAAGGGCCATGACCAGGAGGTATGGGGCGCCAGCAGGGCGCCAGCAGGGCGCCAGCAGGCCCTTTGGGCGGGGTGGGGCGCATGGGGGCGGGACCTCCCGACCTGAAATCATAGCAGAATTTATAGGAGTATTTTGAGATATGGATATGCTTCGTTGGGGTTAAGTTAGGACTTCAGATAGTATATAAGGTTTCTATGTGTTTTTGGCTCAAATATACGTTATGAGAATCTATATAAATGCCTAATAGAACTCCATGAAAATATTCATCAGAGCAGGAGAGAACAAGAAAGAAAGTTAAGATATAGCGAATAGAGGCAAAAAAGGAGACTACGGAAGTGCATTGTAGCAAGGGAGTGAGAGAAGTACATCAAATACAATAATGTTATTGGAGTAAGGTATAAGGCTAATGCCCATAATATATTATCTTCCCAATTTCAGTTCCCCTTCCCTTTTAACCTAAATATTCTTTTTCCATTCCAAAAACGTCGTCCATAAAACAGACGTATGCTAATCTAATAATACTTCTAGTGTTTCAAAAGGCGCTAGGCAGGTCCTATGCGGTCTGGGGGGATCCAGGCCGCCCAGGCGCCCAGAACCTGAGCACCCAATTGAATTCAAAAAAGATTCTGCAGTTATGTCAGTATCAGTTATATGTATTGCAATTGCAGTACATAATTCAAATTATATTACATATTAGCATTTAGCACGCACTCCATACGCATAACCATAATCCATAAGTCGGTTCATACTCCATATCCAATTAAACTTAAAATTTCCAACCAACCAAACTATCAAACCAAGTTACCAAATAGTATCAAACCAGTACTGCAATGCACCACCATGAGGAAGAAAACAAAATTGAATTATGAACCGGTTTATGCCCCCTTTTGTATCCATACCACAAAACTTGCATCTAATGCAATTTTTATCATTATCTAGGTTATAGCCATATTTTCCAATCGGGATCACCACTCCTAAAAATAATGCAATTTACTAAAGCAATAAAACAAATCACTTACTTTGAGTTTGATTGCTCAATCTTCAAACTTCCACCTCAAAGATGCTTCTAAATACTCAAAATCTTCTAAAAAACCCCCTAATAACTTTACAAAACATCAAAAAGTAAATCTAAGATCAATGGCTGATGTTTTGATCAATTTTTGTTAACTTTGAGAACCCTTCAATCCTTAAAAATTCACCAAAAACTAGTTTTTTGGGGGGGTTTTCTCTCTCTAAAATTGGCTCCAATAAGTTTTAGGTTTCAAATGAACCTAAAACACTAATTGTTAGGTCTTTAATACAAAAACAAATGACCAAAATTGCACCCACCGAAACTTATTTCCACCCCTGGGCAGGGCGCAGGCCTTGGGTGGCCGCTCAGGCCTGGGCATTGGGCCCCCGCCTAGGCGGGTTCCGTACTGCCTAGGCGGCCGCCCAGGGTCAACTGCCTAGGTTTGGGCGATGCCCCAGGCCTTTCGGACCTCCTAGGTGCTGGGCGGTCCGCTTTTTGAATCATTGATTACTTCAAACGTAAAATAAACAGGGCGCCTATGGCTGCCCTGAGACTGTAACCCCCAGAATTTAATTAAAAAAATACCTTCATTCGAGAAACCTTCATTATGTTCAAACGTGTTATGTCCTTGCAACCGTTGATGTGTACATTTTCTAGCAAATAGGATCTTAGTTTGTCACTTATTTTAATTTATGAGCTGCAAATTTGATTTTCATATTTGCGATTAGTGTTTGGGCAACTGCAAGATAGTGAGAAACCATCGCAAACTCCATCAGCTTGGAAAATATGCTTCGTGTTACTAAGATTCGAAGAAACGATTCCAAGGTCATGAGATGGGTAAGACTTGTACAGCTAAAGCACAAATGAAGAACAAGTGAGGAATATGCGGAATGAGAATGATAATAGGTGCAGCAGTCGAGGTGACAACGATGACGACAACCATGATTAGTGCTACTGGCTACAAAATCCAACATGTTGATACTTCTTTATTTGAAATTGACATTTAAGTCCTTTTGTTAGATAACAAATCGTGAACATGTTTAAGTTAGAAAAAAACAATTATGGAACCTTGTAGCCAACTCATGAATGTTTAAGATTTCTGCACATTTGGATCAACTTTTGCATTTCAATAGTAGCACTAGCAGTTAATGAAATGAATGTATACATATACTGGCTTCAATGATTAAGTTATGTGTCGTAGTGATTAGATTTCTAGGAAAGTTGTGTATCATTTGTGAAGAAAAATCTTCATTTTTTCTTTTTCCCTAATCTTTACAAACTTCTCCATCTATGTTTTAAAACTTAGTACTCAAAGAAAGCTCCCAAAGCAGCTGAAATACAAAGCTTTTCTCTTTTCCAGCTAAACTGAAATGAATACACGCTCGAATTGATAAAAATGTTTGCCCTCAAAGGTAAATAACTAAATAAATAAAGAAAAGATAGTCATCTGAAGAAATGAATGATATCAACCTAAAAATAACAGAAAATATATGCACAGGGGAAACTCAAATTCAAGTCCAAGTAGGGAGTGAGAATTGGGATGATCACAGAGGTGCCAGCTTGGTTACAGGCTGTCAATGTATACAACTTTCTCACTCCCAGAAAAAAATAGGGTATACACCATCAATGACCTTAGATGTAATACAAGAAAGTGCAAGGTGTGCATTTCTCCTAGAAAATGGAAACCATCCTAGCCTATATTGATAAGACCATTCAGATGGGAGATAGACAGCTGAGCTCAGTCAGTACACAGGCTCTCAATGTATACAACTTTCTCATGCCAAGGAAAAACAGGGTATACACCATCAATGACCTTAGCTGCCTTACAAGAAAATGCATGGTGTGCCTTTCTCCTAGAAAATGGAAACCATCCTACCTATAGTGATAAGACCATTCACATGGGAGATAGACAGCAGAGGTAAGTCCGTACACAGAAATGATATAAATTTTTTATGCAAGTAGGAATATTTTAGGTTCAAAGAAGCCTCCTGAGAAGATATTAGTGAATAATGCTTGCCTTTTATTTATTTAATAACTGAAATTTTATTCAAAAAACTTTAAAAGATGTGATCATCGTTGATCTTTTTCATATCAACATTGTTATAAAAACAATCATATAATCATGCCAACAAAGTAGACGTCCAATTTTTATTTGCCAATATCAAAGCAATAAATCATAATATATGGATTGAATCATCAGTGTTTAAGAATTGAATTCTCGGATCATCAGAAATACAAAAATATGGAAAGATTTTATGGTGATCAAATGATGCATGCAGTAAGTGCGTGAAGGAAAGATCCCACAAGAATGAAATCCGTGGCAATTTGAAAACTAAAGATACATAGAAATCTACACAAAAAAAACTTCAATACCACATCCAAAATAAAACTAATTTTAATATCCAGATCATTGTTAAAAAATTCAGCTGCCCAACCAACTAGGTGGCCAGGCCGCAAAAACGCCTAGGCAGGGCGTCCAAAATGCCTAAGTGGGGCCTAGGTGGCCAAGCCGTCGAGGCAGACGCCTAGTCGGCGCCGTCGAACAACTTGGCCGAGGGCGGAAAAAGGCCCTCGGCCAAGGGCACAAAAGAATTATTTCCCACCCCCCACCGCCAAAAAAGGGGGGAAAGGGTTTTGGGGGGGTAACCTAGCCCCATAAACCCCCAAAAAAGTATAAGGTTCCTTAACAAACTTAATAAGGGGGCTTGCAGGTTTTGGGATTACATCACTAATTTTTTGTTGCTCTGATGGAAATTAATGGTTGATTGCAAGAAATTAATGGTTAATTGGAGGAATTGAGTTGTGATTTACATTGATTATTTCATAAAGATGGCTTCTTTTATTGTTTAAACGTGATTTTGAAATGACCATTGATGATAAGAAGGACCACTCTCAATGTGTGGTACTAAATTGCAAGGGACCCTCACAAATTAGAATTGGTTGCCATGTTTTGGTTAGATGGGAGATTAATCAAAGAAAAAAATTTATGAAATTTGGCTAAACCCCACAACAAAGCATAAGAAATTTGACTATGGATCAAGTGTAATGTATGGTTTCATATTACGCAACAAAGAATTTGCGTGAAAAAGTAAAAAAAATGTTGTGTATATTCCTTCATGTATGTATTTGAAGTTACCGGGATATTGTTGTTTGAAATAAATAGACTATAGCACAAAAAAAATGTCTATGTTTTGAAATCAATAAACTGTTACACCTTGAAATAATATCAAGGTGTAATAGATGCCTGCTTCCCTCCCCCTCCCCGCAAAGGTGTTTCTAGGCACCCACCTCCACATTTTTAAATATTGATCCAGATATCTAATGGGATTATGGGCATACAAATCCATGAATCAGTTGGCTGAATAAAAAACATAACATAGACATAAAAAGAGCCCACAATAGATCATAAACATGTTCAGCTACTCAAAGTAACTGATAATGCAAATGTCCAGTTATCCCAATCTTTTCTAATCAATATAATAATCAAAATCAAAAGAAAAAATCAGTGAAGCATTAGAAAACTAAATCAGCTAGACATGAAATGATGATAACTTTCAAATTCCGAACACCAAATAGAAGGCATTGACCAAACAAATGTTTGTCAGAACCTGAAGTCACAGGTGCAGAGTTTGACACATTTCTCGCTGCCGCTGCTTCCTCCCCCCGTGGCAGAGGTGACACACTAAGTTTTCCAGGAGCCTTAATTAATCTTGTCCGTTGTGCATATCGCCTGTTCTGGAACCAATTCCACACCTGTAAAATGTTGAAATGAAGTAATGAACAACGGCCATATAATGTCAGAAGTGGACAAGGCTGGTGGAGAAAGTTCTAATGTTACCTGCTTTGGATTCACAGTCACTTTTCCAGTTCGATCCGGTGATGCACTTCAAAACAGGAAAATTAATTAGTTCTCCTCTGGCCCAAAACAATACTGAAAATGTAGATTCCATTATAGCTTCACTACTTCAATGTACCTGAATTTCTCAGCAAGAGCACATATAACCTCACGAGCAGGTATCCCATTATTTACTTCGCGCAAACAAGCTTCCATCTCCAAAACCTTCAAAAAAATCAAGAGTTATTATGCAAGCTAATAGTTAACTTGTCCAAAAATATGCCCAGAACTTTCAAAACAGGATGAGAGGTCAAGATAGGCCATTCCCAACATCTCTGCCAAGTTTACTAGTACATATGAAGTATGGTAAAAAAGCAACAGAATAAACAAATAGAAGAATATGATCTGGAATACACTATTCCGTTTCAAGACCAAAGAAATCCTGAAGCTAACAGCTCATATAAGAAACTCTATCTTGTTGTAGATGCTAAATGTTAATGACCATTTAAGCTTAAATACTGAACAGCTAAAAGCACTGAACCACATAAAAGGGAAGGGCACAAGGGCATTGGGTGTTTTGGGGGAGATTTAACACAAATAAAGACTCCAGCTCAACAGGGAGTTATTAGATCTACATGACACAAATTCTATAATATAATTGTAACCTTTCTTCTCCAATGAAAGAAAGAAAAAGACGAAACTCTATCTTGTTGTAGATGCTAAATGTTAATGATCATTTCATCTTAAATACTGAACAGCTAAAAGCACTGAACTACATAAAAGGGAAGGGCAAAGGGCATTGGGTGTTTTGGGTGAGATTGAACACAAATAAAGACTCCAGCTCAATAGGGAGTTATTAGATATACATGACACAAATTCTATAATATAACTGTAACCTTTCTTCTCCAATGAAAGAAAGAAAAAGACCTTACATCAATTTTCTTTCTTGTCCAACTACCCAAAAAACAATTTGCTTCCCATCTGTAACAGAATTCTTCATGTTAGAATATTATTTTTAGGAATGGTAACTATCTAATAATTTCCCCATATCTGAGGATATGGTAGGAATGTAATCTAGACAATATTGAACTGGAAGCAATAGCCCAACCTGGAAGGCATTCTTTTATGGACTTCAACAAACTTAAAAATTGAATCTTATCAAGCAAAGAAAAAAAGTTAAAAAAAGAAAAATATATTTCCTAGCTTTGGACTAGTATGCATCAATGCATGATCATTGGTTTTCAGCCACTGTCCACCATTTCAGCCAAGCAATCTATGTTGGCTACAGTTTACAGATGAGAAACAAGCCCAGCTACTTGTTAAAAATAATAATAATAATAATAATAATAATAATAATAATAATAATAATAATAATAATAATAATAAGAAGAAGAAGAAAACCCCATTCATACAAAGAAAAAGGAAATGTAGGTAGCCGTTCCTCTCCCTAAACTTGCAAAGCACATACATATGAGCGATGAAACTCAGTATTGAGGATGATCAATAGTAGGCAATCAATTTCCACATGCAAACCACAAGATGCAGCAATCCCATGGGAAGACACTGTGCTAACTCCAACAACATATCCATTTCAATCTCTTCCACACCACTTCAAGTGGCCATCTGAGCATCCCATGTAGCTGTCCTGTTCACATTTTGGGTTTCATTGCATGGATCAAATATATATATTTTGGTTTCCAAAGCCTTCCAATTGAATCTTGATGACGCTATTTGTAAATCATCTCCTTGAAAAAGAGGAAGTTAAGAGTCCATTAATGGACCTCAAAGACCATAGGAATTAATAAAAATTCTTTCAAAACTGACAAATTCAAAGCAATGTGCTCATGACACAAACTTCTTAAGAAATAGATATCTTGAGCTACATAAGTTGTGTTTTTTTCTTTGAGCCCCAAGCCCAATCCCCCCTTCTCAAACGTGATCCAAGGTCACTATGGTGTATGAATTGTTTTTGTTGAGTATGAGTGGACCATGGGAGTGTGTCCATGCCCGTTCTAGGGTTTTACAAAATATTCACTTCCTGTAGACTCTGGTTCCAGCTTGTTATTCTCAAAACCCTGAACCCCATTAATTGCCATTAATCAAAGTATCAAAATCATGAACTCCATAAGAACCCAACCTCACCTTATCACCAGAAGTGGGTAATCCTGCATCCCTTATTGGACCTGTTAGAATTTAACTCAATAATAGAAAATCACATTACCATTAATGAATCATAATACCCACACTCAAAATTATATGTTTTTCTTCATATTCACAGAGAGAGAGCTTCGAAAGAAGATCCACTCAACACAAATGAATCATAGAGGGAATCATAGAAATTGACTTGCTCCCTTATCAGTTAATAACCAAACTAAACTCTTTATATCCTCTTCTCCTCTTCAATCAGAGAGAAACATATGCATCTATGAATCATAAAAATTCCACTTTTCCCCTGAATAACTAAATAACCATCCCCCAACACTTCTTATTCTCTTCATTCCTGATAGAAAGAAGAGTTTCAACTCATCAAAAAAACCATAAAGAGTATCATCAAAAGCATAATGAAAGTCATTGAAAACTGAAACTCATTGAAAAGTAAAGAGCTGAACATGCATGTACCTCAGGAGCAGTGAACCGGAAGGCTGGAGCTCCATTATGTGGAGGCCTCCCCATCTCAATAACCAACTACTCAATTTAATGCCTAATACAAAACATTACAGTAAAGAGGAAATATAGGGGACAGAGAGAAGGGGGATTGGGCATTTACCGCCAAAAAAAAAACACGAAGAATAGATGGAGCGGAAGATCAGAAAAGTTAAGAAAGGAAGCCGGGAGAGAGAGAGAGAGGGGGATCAGAAATTGTAGAATTACACACAAAATATCAGAGAGAGATTAAAAGCTGGAGAAACTATTCTTCGAGAGTGAGAAGCGAACCAAGGGAAAGTTAACAGAGGGGAGGAACATCAGAGACAGAGCTGGGGAATACAAGTTGTTAAACGACTGCAAAAGCGAGAGAGAGAGAGGGAAGGAAAAAATCACGTTTTAAGGCATGGGGTACAAAACAAAATAAACTCTCAACACACATCGTCGTCCGGAAAGCACTTTCAGGGTTGAAAATGTCAGCCCTAAAATCAATTTTCTAACTCCAAACATAAGAATTTGAAACCCAAAAAATACTTCCGGGATATGTAAGCACTTAATTTTAAAGAGTAATCATTCTATAACACTTTTTTTTTTATTATTGTGTGGAAGACTCCAAAAAGATCACGATTAAATTTAACATAGATCTCCAAAAAATTGTGGGACTTGAGTTTTTTTAAAATGGAATTTATATATAAATTTCCCAAACAAACCTTTCTAAGTTCAGTTTTTATACTTCTCCTACCGCATAGAAAATATATGTTTCTATAACCATCCAACCAATCAATTTTGATCAAGAGATCCAATCACTGTTTGATCTTAGATCTGATGTCTGAATGTATTTTATTTTTAACTTTTTTATACAAATTATATGAATATGAAATTTCATACGTGTCATCTTCTCCTTATAAAAAATATTAAAAATAAGTTTTTAATGAAATATAATGACCAAAATACCTTTTGAAACTTTCAAAAATATTTTTGTTATTTTATTTTATTGAAAATAATGTTTTTATATTTTTCTCTAGTGTGAGTTTAATAAAAGATTGGATGTACAAAATTTGGTGTCAAAATAGTTTATAAAAAACTAATTAAAAATAAAATAGTGTAAAGACCTGACATTGTGATTAGGGCAATCTTAGCCCTCCATTCAGAATGAGCGGTTGGGTTGGGGGAAGTATATAAATTTGATGTTATAGGGGACGTATAGAAAGCTTATCCTTAAAATTTTATGTTCATGATTTTTTTTTTTTTTGGGAAAATTATCAAAACTGCCATGGATTTTGAGCTAGCTAAAGTTATACCCATATTCTTTGATTTAATGTCAAAGCATTCATCAAAAGACGCACGATCATAAGTGATTTAATTTCAAAGCATTCATCAAAAGACGCAAGATCATACGTTATACCAAATGATGTAAAACATTAAATAGTACATCTCTGGTAAGTATTTTGAACAATTCCCTTATTTTCTAAAACTACCATCTTTCATAACCCAAGCATAAAATTTGACTCCGTAAACCTCAAAAAAAAATAACTCTCTCTCTCTCTCTCTCTCTCTCTCTCTCTCTCTCTCTCCTCCTCCTCTCTCTCTCTACTACTACTACTACTACGTACTACGTACGTACGTACTACTTACTTACGTTACGTTACGTACGTTACGTTACTTAC